AATAAATGGAGATTATGGTATTTACCTCACATTGTTCACAGATTAAAATATAGGATTCATGTAAAGCTGCTAGCAGAGTGTCTGGCACATAACAAATGCTTGCTAAATGTTAGCTCTCATTTCCAGATCGTTAGGTCTTTTTAATAATAAAGTTTGCCCTCTTCTCAGTAAGTTGTGTTTTGTTTTTTGTTTTGGAGCAACACCCAGTAGTGCTCAGTACTTACTTCTGACTCTGCACTCCGGTATCACGCCTGGCTGTGCTTGGGGGACCATTTGGGATGGAAGGGATACAACCCAGGTCAGTCGCATGTGAGGCAAGCACCCTACCCACTACACTGTCTTTCTGACCTTAATAAGGTCTTAGTGCGAATGAAAGCTAGCATTACTAGTACACGAGTTGAGATATAATTATTGTGTCCTTGTTTTCCTGAGTGCTATGCTGGAAACCAGCTGGATATACAAAGGACATTGCGGCTCTTGTTTTCTAATGATTTTTACTTTCTAATCCCAACTATATAGTATTGGATCTTTTTATCTCTGCCCTCTGGTCCCCCCAAAAATCAGTCCTAGAATTTGTGTCTGTGTGTGTGTTGAACTTAAGGTTTCACAGATATGAGGCATACACTCTACTGTTGAACCACATCCTTACTGTTACTGTCACTGTCCTCCCGTTGTTCATCAATTTGCTCGAGCGGGCCCAGTAACATCTCCATCATGAGACTTGTTACTGTGTTTGGCATATCGAATACGTCACGGGTAGCTTGCCAGGCTCTGCCGTGCGGGCGAGATCCTCTCCGTAGCTTGCCAGGCTCTCCAAGAGGGGCGGAGGAATTGAACTCGGGTCGGCCATGTTGGCTGCGTGCAAGGCAAACGCCCTACCGCTGTGCTATCGTTCCAGCCACATCCTTACTGATCACAGAAAAAATTTTTTTTTCCTAGGGGGAGGCCTATGATGCCAGGGATTGAATCCAGGACTCCCTCCTGTATGCCAAGGAATTGCTCCAGCCCTTTGAGCCAACTCCCTGACCCCCCCAGAAACTTTTTTTTTTTGCTTTTTTTTGGGGGGAGGGTCACACCCGGAGATGCACAGGGGATACTCCTGGCTCATGCACTCAGGAGTTACTCCTGACGGTGCCCAGGGGGCCATATGGGAAGCTGGGATTTGAACCCGGCTTGGCCGCGTGCAAGGCAAACGCCCTACCCGCTGTGCTATCGCTCCAGCCCCATTTTTAAGAAAATTTAACCTTTATTTTGAGCCATACCCGGCTGTGCCCAGGGCTTTCTTATTCCTGGCTCTGTACTCAGGGATCACTCCTGGTGGGGCTTAGGGGACCACATGGGGTACTGCAAATTGAACCCAGGTTGGCCGCATGCAGGATGGGTGCCTTGTCTGCTCTACTGCCTCTCTAGCCCCCAGCTGTGTGATTTTGGGCAAAATAACTTCTATGTTTCTTCTCAGTTTCTTCATCTGTAAAATGGATAAAATGTTCCAGTGGGTTGTTATAAGAAATTAATGTTCTTACATGTGGACTACATTAGGCAGTACCTGAAAGACGTGTTAGATGCTACTATTAGATTATCACTCCTAGCAGCAAAATATTTGAAGCATCTTTGGACCCAATCAACCAGTAGTGTATAGATTAAAGAAGAGCCAGAGCGCTCAAATGCCTAAATGCATGCTTTGCATGTAAGAGGCCTAGGTTCAATCCCTGACATCTCAGATACTACCAGGAGCAATCCCTGAGCACCACCAAGAGTGGCCCCAAAACCAAAAAAGAGAGGCCATATAGATAGTAGAGAGAGTAAGGTGCTTACCGGGTGATCCCTGAGCACAGAGCACAGAGCTAAGGAGTAAGCCTTGAGCACTACTGGTGTAAAAAAAAAAAAAAAACTTCTTGATAGGAGGTTTTTTATAGTGTATCTTTTTTTTTTTTTTGCTTTTTGGGTCACGCCCGGCAATGCACAGGTGTTATTCCTGGCTCATGCACTCAGGAATTACTCCTGGCGGTGCTTGGGGGACCATATGGGATGCTGGGAATCAAACCAGGGTCGGCTGCGTGCAAGGCAAACTCCCTACCCACTGTGCTGTCGCTCCTGCCCCTATAGTGTATCTTTTATTCTCTATCATCAGAGTGTTTTTCTGGAATCGTGTTGATATGAGTGAACTGAGGAACAATCTATAGATAGTCTTGTTCTGTTTTGAAATTGGACATCAGGAATTTTGTTATTTTGCCAGTCTTTGATGATGCTTAGGCAGGAAAAATGTATCTTGAATTCTTACAAAGCCAATTTCCCACACATTCACTGAATTATACTTTTGTGGGGGCTAAAGGGAGTGGGGTGCTAGTGATGTTAAAGTAGGGTAGAGGGAAGGCAATTTGAATCAAGACCTTTGATTTTAGGTTAACAAATCCTTCAGTCAAAGGATTTTCTGATCAAGACACTTCACTTTATTTTTATTGAAGTATCATGATTTACTATTATTTTAATGTTATTGTCTTCAGCATGTAATGTTTATGCTTCCTTTCATAAAGGGATAGCAGTTCTTTTTTAGATTAACAAATTTTCTTATATGAAATTGGACTCTTTTCATTGTGTTTGGTACTTGCATTACTTTTTATGAATTGCCTATTTATGTCCTTGATTTATTTATGAGTAGACTTTCTTTGTAGAAAAAGGGATTTAAACTTGAGCCAAATAAGTTTCAAATATTTTTTTTCTTGTCTGTTTTACCCTTGGTTGTACTTTTTAATTTTAAGCACACAAAATTTTAATGTAATGAATCTATAAATGTTTCCTGAAAAGTATTATCTCATTAAAATCAGAAAACTTTTGGGGCCTGCGAGATTGTACAGGTTAAGGCATATGCAATTCTTGTTTAGTTCCTAGTACAACAGGTTTCCCTCAGCATCACTTATATAGCTCTGGAGGTCCCCAGACACCTTGAGGTGTGGCTCTAGTGCCTCTGAGCACTCAGGGTGACCCTGATGGTGCCTGGCACCTCATGGATTGAGCATCTTGGATTCTTAGACATTAGCACGGAATGTGTGTGTCCCCCGAGAACCACTGGGTTGGGTGGCTCCCTTCTTACGGAAAGAGAGCATTTCTGTTGAGTTCTGTAAATCGCCATGGTCTACTATGCGTAGACTGATTATTTAATAATAAGCTTTCTTTTCCTTACAAATCAGTGATCATTACAGGATTTGGAATCTCTGCAAACACAGTCCTGAGACAATAAAATCATAATAACAATAGCTACCACTTACTGCACACTGAATTTTTCTAGACAATGTGTTTGGTCTCTTTTGTACAATATTCCTAATACTTCAAGCTAGATATTACTGCCTACAATTCATGGATTCACAATTAAACTTTACTCAAATTTGTGTTTGAAGAAGTGGAAGGATCTTTCCCAGTATCACAGAGCTGGTTAATGACTGGATGAGTCTGCCTACCTCCGTGGGCTAGAGTACATACTTTGCATGCAGAATCACTAGTTCAATACAGTGGACAGGGTGCTTGCCTTACACACAGCATCCCAGGTTCGATATCCAGGGCCCCATAGGTCCCCTGAGCACAGAGCCAGGAGTAAGCCCTGAGTGCTTCCAGGTGTGGACCCCAAACCAAAAACAACAGAAAGTCTGTCTGGCCTGCACAACAGCTCAAAAGGCTAATACACTTGCTTTGCATGCCAAGGCCCGGGTTCTATCTGGGCAGGTTCTCCCCAAACACCACCGAGAGAAACCCCCAGCACAGACCATCATAGACCCGAAACCCCTCTAATGTGGCTCCAGAACAAAAACTGTCCTTTATCAGAACTGGGAAATGATGATATGTTATCAGACTGATTTGCATTCTTGAGAGTATGGTAGATAAGGTAATGAGACGTGTATAAATGGGGAAAAATTAGTGTTCCAGAGCAGCACTTGGGAATTTGTTTAAAAAAGTATAGTTTCAGATGCCAGTCTAGAAACTTGCATTGCGACCCAAAAATACTTTGTCATCTGTGTATGTTTTTAACAGTCTCAAAACCAATGGCTAGGGAAATTCTAACCAGTGTTTTATTTCTGCTTTTGTGAACTTTAGCCTAAATCTCAGCCCTTAGATATACAACTAGCATTATCAAAAGCATCAAGTCATACAGGCGAGAATTTTTTCTGGTTTATGAGCATTTTAAGCAAATTTGCCTCCCTGGGCCACAGTTTCCAATTTCTGAGACAATGTCAGTGACATTTATATCCATGTAAGAGGTATGTTTTAGTTATAATAATGTGTAAAATGTTTGTTTACAACTTGCTGGTTATTTAATAAATTGAGTCCAGCATGTTTTTTTGTTGGTTTAACAACCCCCTTTCCCCAACCTTTCTTCTAGTCTTCATTTCTCTTGTTTCTTAAGTGTATTTTTGTTGTCTTTTGTCTCTGGGTTTTATTAGTTGTTTCTTTTGGACACCCAACCCCTCTTCACTAACTTCTGTAATTTCTTTAGTTCTCTGTTTGCATTTTACTTCTTAAAGAGTGCTTTCCCTAACTACTTCAGGATCAGTAAAGTCCTTTATACATACGAAGGAGCTAATAAATTTAGAACTAACTGTTGAATGGGGGCCAGAGTGATAGCAGGTAGGAGTTTGCCTTGCATGTGGCGAGCCCGGGTTCAATCTCCAGCATCCCATATGTTATATGTTCCCCTGAGCACTGCCAGGACTGATCCTTGAGTGCATGGCCAGGAGTAAGCCCTGAGTTTCGCCAGGTGTGGCCCCCCCACACACACACAAACACAAAGCAACTGTTGAATGAATGAGTGGTGGCTGTTATTATTGCTCCACCATCATCAGTGTCACCCAAGAGCCCTCTCTGTCTTGCAGGGTTTTGCTGCTTTCAGTAATCATAAATAGTATTAGGATCAGTGGCTATTTTCTTTTCCTGAAAGCACGTGCTTTGATTTAGGGTCATAGGGTTGTTCACTGAGTCACATCCTAACCACTGATCCCCCTCTGTCACAGGTACCTTGGGGGAACTGTGTGTCCTGATGGATCAAGTTCATCATATGCATAACCAAAAATGGCAGCATCCTTCAGACCTTACCATGCGGTGAGTATGGACAGTGAGGGTAGAATTTGACAGCAGGAGTAAATGAGTTGGGGTTTGGGGTTGTAATTATTTAATTACAGAGATAGGGAAAAAAAAGAAGTACAGGGTTGAGATATAGCTCAGTGGGCTGGAGCACTGTTTTTCATGCAGGAGGCTCAAGTTTTATTTCCACTATCATATGACCCCAAGCAACAAACTAGAAATAACCCCAGACCACTGCCAAGTGTGAGCCTCTCCGCACACCCAGCTCCCTTTCCCCCCAAGACCCCCGCAAAAAAAAAGGAGCTATATAGTATAATGAATGAGAACTGGATTGAGGTCCACAGAGATAGTACAGTGCAAGGGGCTAGTCTTATATTCTGCTAATCCGGGTTTGAATCCCCGGCACCACATATGGTCCCTGGAATAGGGGTGAGGCCAGGAATAGCCCCTAGTATCACTAGAATTTCAAAATCGGACTGAAATTCCAATTGTGTTTTGCGAACAGTACCCAGTGGTGCTCAGGGCTTACACCTAGCTCTAAGCTTAGGAATTACTCCTGTCATCGCTCAGGAGACCATATATGGTACTAGGGATTAAACCAAGTTGGCCACATGCAAGACAAGAGCCTTAACCCCTCCAGCCCCTGAAATTCTAATTCTGAATCTAGATTCTAATATAACTTGGTAATTTTTAGCTAGCTATGTGCTTTTGATCCTGTCACTTCACTTCTGTGGTCCTCACATCAATAAGACTAATCTCAAAAGACTAAAACCTAGTTCTAAACTAAAACTAGTTCTAAAACCTAGATTCTTGATACAGTGTGATTTATTACTATGGACTCATTATTACCCCTTTCTCACCCTAAGAGCAAAATCTATAAATGGATATAAAATATATCCAATGGCTGGTGCTAGAGAGATAGTACAGCAGGTAGGGCATTTGCCTTGCATATGGCTGACCCAGGTTCAATGCCCAGCATCCCATGTGGTCCCCCAGGCACTGCCAGGAGTAGTTCCTGAGCACTGCTAGGTGTGACCCAAAAACAAAAACTCTCATTCATACACACACACACACGTACATATATACAATAAACTCTATTTTATATAAATATATCTCCAGTGGCCAGAGAGCTGAGCACTTGCTTGTATCAGAAGTGTCCTGAGGGGCTAGAGAAATAATTAAAAATTTTTAATTTTTTAATTTTTAATTTTTAAGCACAGCAGGTAGGGCTTTTGTAAAACTCTGGCTTTTATTAGTTGTTTCTTTTGGACACCCAACCCCTCTCCCAGTTCTCTTTTTGGCCAACCCAGGTTCGATCCCCAGCATCCCATATGGTCCCCCGAGCACCGCCAGGAGTAATTCCTGAGTGAAGAGCCAGGAGTAACTTCTGTACATCGCCGGGTGACCCAAAAAAGCGAAAAAAAAGAAGTGTCCTGAGTCTGATCCCAGGTACTATATCGTCCTCAGGGCACCGCCATTCGTGACCCCTAAGTACCAAAACAACACTCAGACAAAAATACACGTCTGTGTGGAGTTCACGCCCAATTCAGTCAGCTTAGTCAATGGCTCAATAAATAGCACTTCGACATTAAAAAAAAAAGTACACATCTAAAACAGGACCGTTTTGGGGCCAGAGTGATAGTACAGTGGGGAGGGCGTTTGCCTTGCATGTGGCCGACCCGGGTTCTGTACCTGGCATCCCATATAGTCCTCTGAGAACCATTAGGAGTAATTCCTGAGTGCAGAGGCAGGAGTAACCCCCTGAGCATCGCCGGGTGTGACCCCCCAAAAAAAGCCAAAAGATAAATAAAACAGGACCATTTCTCATCATTTTCACCTGGTTTATTACAAGTCTTTTCATTCGTCTTCCTGCTCCTGCCCTTGCCTGTTTCATATCCTTAGAATCAAAGGGTTTCTTTTAGATTTTTCTTCCTTGTTAAGAATTCTTCAAGCATATATTATAAAGAGTTGTAATTGAGATTGGGATCAAATTATCTCACAGTCTCTTGGTCAGCACCCCAGCCCAAATCAGAGTCTTTTAAGAGACATTACTTTGAATCTAGGCTATTTATTAATTGTTTATTCTCTAAACTTAAACAATGTGATACTCACATGATGACTTACCTTCTCAGAGAATTTCATTCTAATTTTAACTGCTGTGTCAGACAGGAAGTTCACTGGAGGTATAGGTTTGATGCGAGCAGAGAACTATACTGTTCTAAATGTTTCTACAAGCTTTGTTTTCTAATTAGACATTTAGGTTTTCTTTAAACACTTGTATAAGTCACCTTAATACCTGTATGAAAATTAGTTTTGGATGTTGAAAAGAAATAGTACTTATATTGTGATGCCTTTTACATAAATAAAAATTTTTAATTTCTGAACATGTGAGAATTAAAATATAAAATTAAGGGTCTGAGAAAGATCTCAGATGAACTGAGTAGAGGCTTTGCATGCAAGAGACAAGGATTCAATTTACAGCACTGGATATGACCCCCAAGCACCACTGGGAGTGACCCCGAACAGAGCCAGGAATAACCCATGAGCGCCATTGGGTCTGACCCAAAAACCTAAAAATGATTGAAACTAGTATCTAATTCTCCTGGTTCTGCTCTCAGGGATCACCACTGTTAGGTTTCGGTGACCATATTGGGTGCCGGGGATTGAACCTGGGTTGGCTGCATGCATGCAAAGCAAGTGCCCTACCCACTGTACTGTTGCTCCAGCTCCGTTTTCTCTATTTCTTGACAGAAACTATGCCCGCTTCCGACAGAATTCCCTGCAAAGATACAGTCTGACTCAGTGGGTTGACAGGAATGAACGAAGCCACCATCGGTTCCAGCGTCTCCCATGCAGTCCATTTATCTCGTCACAACAGCAGTGAAAGTTCCTATTCCAAATCTGGTTCAGAGCAGCAGCGCAGTTTCTGTTGTTTTGTGCTTTGTAGATATTGAATTTATTTTTCACAATATTTTTATTTAAAGAATTTGTCACCTTTTGGAAATGCCCATTACTGACTTGAAATTCTTTGTATAAGTTTGTTTGTGTGTTGTTGTTGTTGTTGTTGTTGTGTGTGGGGGTGGGGTGGGGGTGTGTAAGTATTATTAAGTTGAAGGTGGAGTATTTTACTTTTTATAATTGAAGGTGGCCATCTGCTGAAAGCCAGCATTAAGCCAAAACACCCACACTGAGACAAACAGCTGCCTCCAGGCAGAGGTGAAGTCTCCTTTTGGCACCCAAAGAAATCACTTCTGACTGCCCTCTAGGGAAGTCTTCATTAGACTACAAACCAGTGTAATTACTGCCAATGACACAATCAGAGATAAATCACTTATAACCATCCCTCTTTTTTCTTGGAATCTCTGAATACCTGTCAGTATTTTCAAGTTATAGTCCAGGACATTTTAAATAGAATAGAGTGGTATAAACATTCCATTAAAAGGACAGTTAAACATATAAATCTTTTTTTTTTCTTTTTACCAGTTAGCTTTATTTTTAATCTTTTGGCTTTTTTCCACTTACTACGTTTATTTTGCACAATAGTATTTACAGATCTTATGCATCAAAACTGTGACAGAAGACTGCTGAATAATTCCTGTTGATTTATAGTCTTGTGACTGGCTGATTATCTTCTCTGCCTTGAAAGGGTTTCCTTTTTTTTTTTTAACCGGTGACCACTATGCTGCTTAGGATTCCCTTAGTGTTATCCTGTATCCTGTTCGATGTACGCCTCATAAGAAAAGCCTTCCTGCTCTGTTGAAGAGCTACCCAACCAGTCTTGACTCTAAGAGACAGGCCGGAAAGCTAGTGCGATTGAAGTGTTGGTCGTTCTTGATTTTTAGCTGCCATAGCACAGCTTCAAGTTGCTGTGTTAGTGTGCCCCCAGCCTTTGATAAAGACTGGGGAGGCACCCTTACGTCTCCTTTACTGCTAAACAAGAGGTGCCTTGAGACCCAGGGTATTACCTCTCCTCTTTCAGCCAAACCTCTGATGTGGCTTCACAAACTGCACACGAAAACATTGCCTGACCTTGAGGTTATATCTAGCCGAAATTGACAGATTTTTGCAGCCACCTCAGTGAATGTCTTTGGAGTATATTTGTTCTCTCCTTTATAGACAGCTCGACATCTTTTGGGAGATTTTTTGTACGTGTTCAGCACTTGTGCTATTGTTCACTCTCTGAATCTTGTACATAATTGCTGTAGCTCAGCCTGTGATAAAAGCTTGACTGCTAGTTTTGTTTCATTGGCCACATCTTTGTATATGAGTAACCCATCATAACCCTGCTTGAGAAACAGAGTTGGGAAAAGTTTGGTCATTTAAACTGTCAGTACACTTCTACGATGATGTCGCTGTTTACTAGTCTAATCTAGTCAAGGATTCTTTTGTCCTTGGACATTTGGTTTAGATTTTTGGGACTCGAGTGCAAGGAAGTTTTGTTCAAAGGCAAGAATCAAAATACATTGTTTCAGTTGGCATAACTGGCATTTCTACATCAGGCGCTTCTCCAAGTTTCCCCAAATTAGCCTGATGGTGTAGTATTTGCAGCCGTCTACCTTTAGAACCATGGGCATAGTAGCAGATTAACTGTAGCTGAATAACTAGCATTGCAGCTCCCTAGTTCCCCTAAGATAACCCAAGGCGGCAAGGGACAGTGTTTTGAGGGGAAACCTGAGACTGATGCTCCTGCCTCCCCGGTACATGAGCTCCGTGTCAGAATGTGAGCGGGAGCATCGTCTCTGCCAAAAGCAAGTGAGTGACGGGTTAACTAGAAAATGTGACAATCACATTTCCTCTTTGCTCGAACAATTCTGTTTTTCTAAAGCTTTAGCAGGCTTAATTAAATCTGTTGGACTGGGGGAGGAGAGAACTGTTCCCTAGCTGTTAACATGGTATTCTTTAAGAAGGAAAAATAATGCCAAAGAAAACTCATTATCAGGCATGCTCGCCTTAACGATGGTAGTGGGCAGAATCTGGAGTTTGAATGGGTTTAAAACTACACATCTCCTCTCTGATGTTGGTCTCTAAGTCTTACATGCTTGTGCAATTCGTGCCATATCGTTTGATTTGAATAAGCCTTGTGTGTATTTAACTGGCTACCTAGTTTTCTTCACCCATGATGACGTTCTCAGCCTAGGGGTCTTGACAAAGCAGAGTGAAAATGTGCTGTTTACATACTTGTAAGTCAATGAAGTAACCTGTAGTTTTGCATCCAGTGCAGGCTCTGAGGTACTTGAGTTGTCAAGACCAATTATGAAACTGAAGTTTGGTGCCTCCTCTTTATCATGTTTTTTTTTCCCTTGTAGCAGTTGTGTTTAATGTCATTAAAAAGAAATAAAAGTTCTTGTCAGTGGCATATGTACTGTGGCCGTCTGTTGCGGGCTTTGAAAGAGGGCCCCTTCCCCCTTTGCGTAGGTAGGTTAGTAGTGGGGCATGGGAGGGGGTGGCACTTGGTAGAATGTGGTACCGGGGAGGCGCGGGTGCGTGCTCTCTATTCTTTTGAGGGTAAATTACAGTGTTGGGAAAGGCGTTCCAGCAGTTAAGAAATGTTGAAATTGATTGGGATTTGCAGCTACATATAGTGCATGTCAGGATCCTGACACGGGCGAGCCTGAAATATCACCAGGCTGCTTATCACTGCTGCGGGTGTTTCAGGCTCTGCCTGACGAGGCGTGCACTGCCTGGCATTCCTTCCTTCCCCGGGCCCTGGGATTGACCTCTGTGTCCACCTCTTCTGAGCAGAGCAATGGAAGAAGCAGCTGAGGTGTCCTGGGACATCTCCCCGTGAAAGGAATGTGAGAAGCCAGAATCAGAGTACAAAATCAGTGGTAGTTCTGAACCCAACATCTTCTAGAACCTGGGGCGAAGGTTGGATAAGTGTGGGTAGATGTGGGAGACACCGCGTTCCTCAGATCCCTTTTGTGAACCTAAGCTTCTTAGACTTCCCCCCTCCAGAGCAAGGATGAAAGAAAAAGCAATAATAGCTTGTCACCTATGTAAGCCAAGTCTTTTTAAGTCTCAGCTCATGCTGAGAAAATAAGTAGCAACATGTTTGGACAGGCTCTCTACCCTGCTGTTTGGGAAGCTTTGTCTAGTGTATGTTCTATAGTCCAGGCGAAAAGTTCAATGTAAATTTACTAAATACTCAGCCTTAGGTATTCTTGTGTGAATCTGAGGTACTCTTGACCTATTCATAGACATTTGTTCCTGTCAGGTGTAGATGATCCAATGGCTCAGTAATTGCTAATTTCCTTTTTAGCAGTTACTGGGAGCAGCAAAGATTTTGGAGATCAGGCTGAGTTCTCAGAAATGGTGGTATTCTGTAGCTGCTGTATGGTTTGGATTTTTTTTTTTTTTTTTTTTTTTTTTTTTTTTGGTGCATGTGATGGGAAAATGAGGAGAAATGGACCTCTAACAGGAACAGGCTTACTCTCTAAACAGCCTGTTTGGAACTATTACAGGAAGAAAAATCCAGCCATCTAAAACTAGAAAGCAGAGCTTCCTGCGTTCCTCAGAGAAGTCAGATTCCTGTGCTGATTTTAAAGAAGGTTGCTTTGTATGCTGGAGCACCTGTCATGAAAACACTTGCCATTTGTTTTAGGAACTATCAGCTGGTCAGTGGTGAAATTCCTTAATAAGCTCCTGCTTGTCAATCCTCCCAGAAGACAGCTGGAACATGCCATAGACAAAATCTGACCCTCCCAGCACTCGTGAAGAAGAGGATAGAATAGAATCATCTGGGCAAACTTGAAAGCAACCCATTGGCAGGTGTGGGGTTTTGGTTCAGTGCTAAAGCATTCCTAGGTTCATGAGTCCTGGGTTCAGGCCTTAGCCTGGAGGGCAGGGTGAGGAATGTGATAGTCTTGATATTTCTTGTTATGGAACTTCGTGCACAGGGGTTAAGGCACTTGCCTTGCTTCCCACTGACCCCAGTTCGATCCCTGCTGTTACACTGCCAGAAGTAAGTCCTAAGCACAGAACCAGGACTAGCATCTGAGAAGCACTGGGAGGCCCCAGAACAAAAACTTTGTCTACAGACAAACTGGCTTTAAGCATATTTGAGAATTTGGAAACATTATACTTAAGGAGTTTGGTGTGGGGCTTCCCATTTATAGAAGTAATTTGTTCTCAGAGGCAGCTACTTAGAAGCAAAATCCAGGGCTGGCGAGAGTACAGCCAGTAGGGCACTTGCACCTCGGCTATCTGGGTTTTGATTCCCAGCACCATGTATGGTTCCCTAAGCCCTATCAGGAGTAATTTTCTAAGCAGTGAACCCAGGGATAAGTAAGCCCTGAGCACCATGGGGCGTGATTTTTTTTTTTTTAAGCAAGATCCAGAACTTGCAAAATAGGTTTGAAGAGGGTGAGAAACGTCAACATTTGAAGCTTCGTGTTCAGAGTGGGGTGATGATACAGTTTTGTAAAGGGTTTTTTTGTTTTTGTCTTTGTTTGCCGAGGGCGGACGGTGGTTAAGGGTTTTTTGGTGTTCTGTGGCCAGTCTTCCTGTTTCCCCATCTGTGAAGATGGAACCTCCCGTCTCTTTAACACTGGAGAAAATAAAAGTCTTCTGAACTGGGAACCCGTAATAGTGAGCTCTTGGAAATGCACCGAGGGAGGGAAAATTCTAACTGCTCATCACGAACTTGTGGCTTGGAAGTATTTGCAACTGACACTTCTAACCCAGGGCTTAAACTGAATATCTGTGTCTGCTATCATTTATACGGCCACAGCCATAGTTCTGTAAAGGGCTGAGTGAATAAGAGATCTGAAAAATGAATTTGAGGAATCCATAATGAACAATTAGGAGCTAAGGGCCAATAGAAAGGCTTCCCGCCCTCCAAAGGACTCCCCACTTTTTCCTTTCATCAGACCCTGCAGCTTCTCTTGTGCCTATGAAGAAGCCCCTTATTCCTCTCTAGGCAGTGGGCGAGATCAAAGAATCCTGTTCTTACCGCTTTGTTTTTAACAGGGAAGGCAAGCAGCTGCCCCACCCCACCCCCAACCTGAACCGCCACTGACCCCTTCAGAGAAACAATTTAACTGTGGTGGCATGTGATGAAAAGTCTCCTCGCACAGGCCTGCTTGAGGTCTGCAAATTGGGTCTGCAAAATGCTAAAGCAGCATTTCTCCACAGGAGGGGCTTGAGGAGGACAGAGCAATAGCACAGTGGCTAAGGTGCTTGCCTTGCACACAGCCAACCTGGGTTTGATCCACAACACTCCATCTGGTCCCCTGTGCCCCACTGGGAGTGATCCCTGAGACTGAGGAGAAAGCCCGAAGCACCCACCAGGTGTGGCCCCAAAACCAAACCAGACACAACAGTGAACCTTGAGATTCCAAGGGGAAACCGTGGCACAAGACTTGCGGCCAATTACTAGGATGGGACAGGGGTGAGGGGTGTGCAAGAAGGAAGCGAAATCCAACGGGGTCCAAGATTGGGAAAAGGTTCAGAAACTGATAAACCACTTGTTTGGGGCCTTCCAAGCTGAAGGTCCTGTGGGTCTCAATGGGCTAGAAAGGACCACATGCCAGGACGTGCTACTGGGCAGTGCTGAAGGGGGGGTGCCATTTAGCTAAGCCAAGAGTGAGGTTCCTTCTCTGTCCTCAGACCTCCTTCTAGCGAGTGTGTGTACATACAGGGACAATTGAGCTGAAGCCTGGAAACTCGTGTTAGCATGTTAGCTGTGTCCATGAAACTGGGGCAGCCTCAGACCCGAAGCTGATGGGGACATCTCTTATCATGAGGTACGAGGCAGGCATGGAGGCCCTCGGTTCTCTCTCTGCACCATGGCCCAGAGTTCTCAGCCAGTTGTTTCCCACGTGCCCACCTGGTCTCCAAGATCTGCTTCCCTTTGTCCTAGAACCTTTCAGAGCAGCCTACTCCAGACCCCTCTCACCTGATATTTTCTTCCCAAGCTTTCCTGGCTGGGACAAGAAGGGTTCCGGGCCCCCACGGACTGGGTTACAGGCATCATCCCTCTACCTTTTCGGCTGCTGAAGGGCAGCGATGTTCCTTTAACAGCCTCAGAACAGCATGCTGGGAAGTTGTGCCGCAGCCGGCAGCCTGTGCAGTTCCTCTCACAGGGAAGGGCGGAGAACTGCGTGCCTTTGGCCAGGGAAAATACCCAGATCCAAATTTGTGGGAGAAAACCCTTTGTTTTAAAAACCAAGCCCCAGCGTGCATACCTATGTGACAGGCAGCCCAAGCTTGGCTGGGGGCGGGGGCGGGGGGGGGTGCTCAATAGGATGATAGAACAGCTATTCTCTCCTGCTCCACGTGCACCCCCATCTGTTCGAGATTTCCTTTCCAACTCCAGCTTGGCTGGCAGGCATGTCCCTAAGAAACTGCAGGCCAAAACAGGGAGGGAGAACTAACTCCCTCCTCCACACATCCTGACTTGCTGCCAATCGCCAGAAAAAGAGGGCAACATTTGGGCACTTACCAGAAGACAAGGATGTGCCTTTTCATTTGTCTTTTTATTTTACATTTAAAAAGTGGTTATTGCTCTAACTGGATCAGAGGTAAAGGATCTCTCCGCTAAGGAGCGTGGCCTTGCAGCCCCATTCAGCAGGGATGGAAGTCACAAGACGATGCATGGAGCCTCATGCTCTCCCATGAGGAAGCCCTTCGTCGGCTGACGTCTGCCGACTCCCATCTCTCCTCCCTCCCGGTGCCGCCACCCCCAGGCAAAGCAGAGTGGTAGCCAACCCAGCCGGGAGTTCTTGCAGACAGGAAGGAAGGGTCACTGGGTGATGGCTTGCAGCTCTCTGGCTTGGGGGCCAATTCGCTTATATCATCCAGTTTGGCATATTCACTGAGCACCTACTATGTGCCACCTGGGGCCAGGCGCAGTGCTCCCACACACCCAGCCTCAGCCACCATGGAAGATGCAGAAGTCCAGCTCTTCCCACGCAGGCGCTTGGCAGCCGGCGCTGCCAGTCCCCGGGAAGAGTCCGCCTTCCCTTTGCAAGCACCATTTTTTTTTTCAGACCAGAAAGGCGCCGCAGAGTGAGAGACCAGTCACCTCACCCTCAGTTCCGGGGTGGACATGAGGAACCCGGGGTGCTCAGAGAACCTTGGATGAATGGCAAGATATAGAGCCCCCAGAGGCCAGGGCTGTCCTGACTGTGGTGAATGGCTCAGGTCTACCTTCCAGCAACTTCCATTCCAGGACAGGTGAGTAAGCAGCCCCCAGGATGTGCCACGTGGGCATATCTTTTCAGTTGTCCAAACCAACATTGTTCCACTGCCAAGGGACTCCTCAGAAAGAATCGGGGCCAGTCAGCTACCGTCCGAGTCTCTTTTCTATTCTGTCTTCCTTTGACCCAGGCTAACAAATCTTACAGTCAAAATAAGAACCAAAGAAGACAGAGGATGCAGACAATTCGGCGAGTGCCTCTTGTCTTCTAAGGTGAAGCCCTTCATTTTGTTTTCCAAAAGAGACAAGACAGACGACATCTAGTATACTTAATAATGTTGCACATCACACCACACTCAAGTCCTTGAGGGCTGGACCCAGAAAAGGTCTGACGGTGGCCCTACAGCTTCCCTGATGCTGCTTAGCCTAAAAGACTGTGAGGCCAGGCGGGCACCAGCCAGCTCCCAGGAGCTTTGTGCGTTTTTTCTCAAAGAGGAAGCCGGTCCAGGAGAGGCAGAAGATTGTGTGTCATGCAGCTTTGCCTCTTCCCGAACGGGGCCGGTCAAGTCTGGGGGTTTTGTGGCTTGTTCTTTTCTTTCTTTCTTTCTTTCTTTCTTTCTTTCTTTCTTTCTTTTTTTGCAGAATTTGGGTTTATAGTTCAGCTCCTTCACCAGGACATGAGGGGGTGAGAGAGAGAGCACTGCAGAGAGCGGAGCCTCCCCCCCACACCTCCTCCCTCTCCCTGTGCCCGTGGACCTGCGGACCAGCCGAGAAGACAAATGAAATCCTTCTCCCTGCAGACAGGCAGTCACGCTTCGATGCTGTTCGCTGTGGGCTTGTTTGGAAACTGGGAGGCAAAAAAGGAGAGAAGCAGCCAGGGCTAACTGAGTAGATAAGACTTCTTGCAAGCTGGATGGAAACAGGGAGAGGACGCAGGAGAAAGAGAGCCGCAGGGCTGCAGCCTCAAGGCCCGGCTCTCGGCCCGTAGCCCTGCCCGGCCTGCCTGGCTGCGGCCTTCTCCAGCCCAGCTTCCGCCTCACTCGCTGCAGGGCCCGGGCCCACCCTGAGCCCCCCATCTGCCCCCAGAACAGCCATCCCACTGGCTGTTCTTGCCTCCCGCCTCTGGGCGCAGCCTCAGTCACTGACGCTGCGGAGCTGGAGATGGGGTTTCTGAAGAGACTTCGGGAAAACACGCCGGAAGAGAGAAGCCGAGAGAGGACAGTAAGCCAGAGGGTGTAAGGAGATGGAGGGGGAGAAGATGCTTGTTGGCTAATCCTCAGAACCAGGAGATCCTCCCGCTTTCTCTACTGTCTGTCTTCGAGCTGCCCAGAGCCAGCCCTGCCCCGGGGCTCATATCTGTTTCACGGAGGGAAGCACAAAGCGGTGAAGCGCCTGCCTGAGCCGGGGCAGACGGACGCCCTGACCCCTCCTCTCGCAACCTGGCACCAACCCAGACTTTTGCTCCCGCTCCCACCGCCCTCTATGAATGCCCAGCGACCCCTGGCACGCAGCCAAAGGAGAGGTTCCAAAAGCAAACTGCAACGTCCCGAGTCCCCGACGGCACCAAGCTGAGGCAGTGCCCAGCTGCAGCCAGGCCAGGCCCCGAGCCAAGCCTTCTGCCAAGCAGGGGTGCCTGTGAGTGCACAGGCGGGACGCAGCCCACCCTGGCCCAGGGGTGGCCCTCACCTTACTGCGGAGAAGACCCCCGCCTTGGTGCTCCGGGGTACTAGTTTCAGACGCGCTCTTGGTTTTTTCCTTGTTGTTATTGGGCTCGTTGTCCTTGATAATGTCATACTGACGGCAGAAGAGTGCAATGACACCTGGGGCCGGGGGCGAGGGACAGCGGTCGGAGGCCGGACACCCAGGCCCAGGCCCTGCAAATACTTGCAGAACCCCTGAAGGGGTGAGCCCCCGCTGCTCCCCTTTAACTGCTGTAACAGCCCCCTTCTGCCCCGTCCCAGACCCTTCACTGCCACTGAGTGATCTTTGCACAACCGGCCTCTGGGGGCCCCCTCTCCTCCCTCACACCTCTGAGGGATCCCCCAAAGTACAGCAGCCTCTGCACACACACCTGGCCTCTGACACTGGCACGGTCTGGTATGTCTCAGTGGGCTCACACCCTCCCGGGGGTGGCCACTGTCGCCCCCAGGCTGTGAGTCAGGGGCGTGTTTCAGCTGCCCTAACTTCCTCAAGGTCACTCAGCAGTGGCTTGGAGGTGAACTCGGGACCTGCCCTTTGCTCGGTGTTTATTGTCAGCAAAGTGATAATACACGGACATCCTATTTTTGGAAAGTCCGTTTCCAGAAGGCAGCCAACTCTAATTCCTGCCATGTCTCCCCCTTTCCCACCTCTATCTGTCTGGTATTCGGGGTGTGTTTCCTAAGCTCTCTGCTCTCAGCTATTATCTGTTGACTTGTCACCAGGGTAGATAAGGCCCAAACACTCCCCAGCTTGCATCCCCATCAGAATAATAAAATTACATCACATTGTGGGTTAATTTACTCCGCTTATGGTTATGTAAACGCCGTCTTTGCCAGTCTAATAGCGCAAACCTCCCCTCTCATCCAATCCTTTTTCCCCCTACCTGCTCATTGCTGTAAGTCCCCGTTTCTCTACCTGCCGAAGGACACAGTCCCCCCCACCACCCCACCCCCCGGTTCTGCCTGGCCCCTCCCGCCGTTCCAACACACAACTTCTATTTGAGGTCACAAGCTCCCTGAGCCAGACTGAGCTTCATTTGTTTCTCGAATGTGCCCAGAAAACCCCTTCCTGGGGCCGGGGGGTGAGGGGAGAGAAGGAGGGTCTCCAGGGTGAACTTCTATTCACCCTTCAAAGCTCAGCTGGCCAGGCCCTTTCCTGTCCTTGTTGTGGTTCCTGCTCTTGGACCTGGCTTGGGGTGCCTCTCCTCTGCTCCCACACACGGGACTCTCGGAACAGTCATCACACTGAATTATCGTTATGCTCGGCCTGGCGCCGGCGACGCCGAGTTCCCTGGAAGCACGGGGCTCTTTGTCATTGCTGGAGCACTGCACCCTGGAAAGGGGCGGCCATCCAGTGAACAGTGACTGGACTGAGGGCCAAGACAATACTTGGAGAGGGAGAGATACGCAAGGCCCTTCCCCCCCGTCCCCACCTTCCCCATTTGATCCCTGAGTCTATATCTAGTCCCTGAGCCCCTCCAGAAGTGATCCCTGAGTAGCCCCTGAGCACTGTGGTGTGTGGCCCCAACTCTCCTACCCCCCACAAAACTTGAAATTTTTTTTCATATCCTCAGGGAGCTCACAGAAAACAAAGACCTGAGCCTAGTTAACCAAGAGACACACTGAGGGGCAGACGGAGGTGCTGAGGGGCAGCAAGCAGGAGGGACATCTCATGGAAGGGACCCCAGAGCCTCGAACAACAAAGTCCACTGAGGCACTGAGGACCAAAAATGGAGGAGCAGCCACTGGCCCAGCCCTGTGGAGGAAGAGGGGCCGCGGGGGCAGCCAGTCTGGGAGCCACCACCGTCCCTGAAGGAGGCAAGGGCAGGTACCCGCCACCCGTCCCCATCCCAGTGCAAGGCAGTGCTCGACCCACTCCATTCTCCTGTGAGGAGTGGATGAACAGAGGGGCCACCCTCCCCTCCCGGTCAGCTCCTTGCTCTTGGCTTCTGTGAGAGAAGGGGTCTCGCCAGGACCCTCTTTTTCCCCCCGCCCCCGGCGGTTAGTGGTGGCTGGGCTGAGTGGGGACTCACCAGCCCACATGAACAGGACCACGACGATGATGAGCACCTCGCCCGTCCGCAGCTGCTGGTTTCGCCCCATCTCCTTCATGGTCACCTCATCTGGGGAGAGATGGACAAAGCTGGGGCCCTCTCCCCCTCCCCAGCTCCCCTAAGACAGCCAGTCCCACTTCCTCCGGGCCTTGCACATTCACCACGGTGACGGCACGGCAGAGGCAGGCTGGGGCTTAGCACAGACCCAGTCCCGGGCTTGCTCGTGGACACTGCTTGGCAGGAAGGAGGGGACGGGGGTGCCCAGACGCAGCTGCCCGTGCTACCCTCGCCTGCCTTTGTGATTGGGCGTCTTCTCCGCCTCGCGGGGCGTCTTGAACAGCACCGGCTCGCTGGCGGGGCTCTGGCCCTGGATGGAGATGGCCTGCACGTGCACGATGTACTCCGTGTCCTCCTCCAGGTCCCACAGGGCACACGAGCGCGTCGTGGTGTTCACCTCCTGGATGAAGCGCAGCATCCGCACGTCCTTCTTCTGCGGAAGAGACACTTAGGCACCATCGGGGTGCGGCCACCCCATCTATGCCCGGAGGTTTCCTCTCCATCTCTCCAGAGGAAACAGAGGTTCCGAGAGGACGGAAAGTTCCCCCACGCTAGACATATACACGTGGCGCCAGGCCCTACACTTGGGTTCAAATGAAAACCACCCCCTGGGCCCGAGAGTTAGGACAGCACGGAAGGCTCCTGCCTTGCACACAGCGACCCCGGGTTCGATTCCTGGTCGCTGGAGCATTGCCAGGAGTGATCCCTGAGCACAGAGCCAGGAGTAAGCCGTGTGCACAACTGGGTGGACCTTCTATCAAAAAAGAAAAAAAAAAAAAGCAAAACCCAGGGGCCACTTCAAGGCCTCCCCACACGGCCTGACTGGTCCCCGCCCGGGGCCCCCAGTGGAATCATCTGCACCGCTTTCTGCTCAGTCTCCTGCTCCCACTCCCGTTCTCCCGCACCCCCACTTCCCTGGGGCCCCTGAGGGTACCTGCTGAGAGATGGCAAATCCGATGACAACCTCATCCTCTAGGACATCCCAGCTCACCACTGCAGAGTTGGCCTTGAGGTGCCTGACGGTGACATTCACTGGGGCCGAGGGGTTGTCTGAGGGGCAGGGGGCACCTGGGCCTGAGCACCCCTTGACCGGAGGCCCAGGCCCAGCATTTCCTCCTTGGGACCCAGGGGAAGGCCATGGGTGGGGAGAGAGACGGGCCTTAGCTCCTGATCGGAGCAGCCAGGTGGGGAAGGCCCCAGTCCCTCCCGGTGACCTGGCTAGACACAGTGTCCCCCACTCCCCATGCCCGCCCCAGGCTCAGTGTTGAGGTGCAGTAAGAAGACGGACAGGTCTAAGGGAGAACATTCGGGGCTGCAGCAGCAGCAGCAGCAGGTGAGTCTCAGGGAGAGCGGCTAAAGGACTCCTAACCCAGTGCTCTTTCTAGCACATAGCATGATGAGCAGGAGAAAGAGCCAGAGGTGGAGCAAGGCCAAGGAGGGTGAACTTGCGAGGGGAGCTAGGCTTAGGAGTGGCGCCTTGGGGACTGCGGTGACCTGGGCAGAAAGGAGCCTGGGGGAGGGTCTGCAGGTACCCCTCTGTACCCTGGCCAGGCGGAAGGGGTGGGGGCAGGGGCACTGGGTCCAGAAGAGACCAGAAGCAGAGACAGCAGGGAGGCGGACCCTTCCAAGAAAAGGGCAGTGGGGTCACCCGGCTTCTGTGACTCCCAGGGGAAGTGGCTGGGACGGGAAGGCCCGCCAGAGAGCCGCGGTCGTGGTCCTCAGTCCAAAGGGTGGCCACGAGAGAGCAGAGAGGGACAGAGACAGGTGGCCGCAGACGGCGGGAGGAAGGGAGGGAGGGCGAGGGAGGGAAGCTGGGCCAGGAAGATGGATGGAGGGAGAGGCAGCGGGAGGCCAGGCCAGGACCCGCATCAGAGGCCCGGGCACACTCACTGCACCAGTCTGGGCCGGGCCCTCACCCGGGCCCCGGGGTGTCGGCCCCACCTCCTCACACCCTCCAGCACCCGGGAGCCGGCCTGCGGGCGGTGGGGACAGCGGGGAGGCCAAGGAGGGGGCCGTGTCCTCGGCTGCTCCCGGTCAGAGGAGCGCGCTAGGGGCTCGGGAAGCCTAGGCCGGGGTTCGGGGGCCTGGAGGAGGCACTGGGGGGTCCCCGGCCCCCAGCAGCCGGGGCAGGGGAGGGCCGGGGTGCTGGAGGTCAGGAGGGCGGGGGAGGCCGGGGGCGAGGTCAGGGGCGCAGAGAGCCGGCGGGGAGGCTCCGGGGAAGGGACCCGCGGGCTCGGGGGCTGGGCGGGGGGAGCCCGGCGCGCCCGCCCCTCCCGCCGGGGCCCCCTTACCCGCCTGCACCAGCGCGAGGCAGACGCAGCCCAGCCACAGGCGCAGCGCGGCGCGGGGCGGCCCGCGGGCCATGGCGGCGGCGGCGGCGGCGGCGGCCGGGCCCGGGGCGGCGCAGGGGGACGCGGCGGCGGCGCTCGGCGGCCGCTGGCGCTCGCGCTCCGGCCCGCGGCCCCGCCGCCCCGCGCCGCCCCGCGCCGCCTGCATGTCGGCTCCGCGGACAGCGACTCCCGCGCGGCGGCGGCGGCGGCGGCGGCGGCGGCGGCGGCCGCGTCCACGTCGGGCGCCCGGGAGGCGGGGCGCCCCCGCTGCGGGGAGAGCGCGGGGGCGGGTGAGGGGTGCGGGGGCCCCGCGCGCCCCGCCCCTGCCCTGCCCAGCCCTGCCCTGCCCTGCCCTGTCCTGCCCTGTCCGGCCCTGCCGGCCGCCCGCCGGGCCCTGGCCCCGCAGCGGGGCCCCGTGCCCGGACCCCGACCTAGCCGCAGGCGGGGGTCGGGAGTGCGGGTGAGCGCGGGGCAGGTGCAGGGGTGCAGACCGGAGGTGCCGGGGTCACATCCCTCACTAGCACGGGCGTCACCCGGCTGGCCTGGCCACACGTGTGTCACCCTCGGGAGCCGGCCCATGAGCGCCCGCCGGGCACAGGGAGCGCGGGGCTCTTGGGGCTCTTGGGGCTCATGGGACCCCAGAACCCGGCCGAGTGAACCCGCGCCCCCGGAATCCCCGAGAGCCTAGAATTTGCGGGTGCCAGCTCCTCCCCCGCCAGAGAACAATCTGGAACAATCTCTTCCCAAGAGCAGGGGAGAGGGGAGGGGCGCGCTCCCCACCCCACCCCACCCTCCCCCATCCTCCCCCAGCCCTAGGCCCTAAGTGCGGTAAATGCGCTCCGGACTCAGAGGGGGAGGGGGCGGGGTCCCGGGGACTTGGCTGCCAACCTGGCTCCGGAGAGGAGTTTCGAGAACCTTCCCTCACTACGACACTCCAGTGCCATCCACCGCCTGACTTTCCACCCAGCCCACCCTTTCCTGATTCTGGGGTGGCAGAGAAAGCCACCCTCTTCCTTATGAGAGGACCCCCGGAGTCCCTGCAGTGAGGCACAGCGGGGACCCCTCTCTCGGAGGGAGCCCCCCTGGCCCCACTCTGAAGTCCCCAGGTGAAGGTGTTTCTTGGGATGCTCAAGGCATCTTCAGACTCTGGACCAACCCTTTTCTGGAAAGGGGACACCTGACAGTTGTCCCACAAAACGTCTTCAGGATCCCCCTCCGGCTGCCCAGGACACAGTACCTGGACTGGGACAGGGACTGAGGCTGATCCTGCCTCCCGTGGCCTGAGCATTACCTGGAGGCCCCCAAGCTGGGCCTATTGTGGCCCTAGAGACGCCAAATTCCAAGAGGGTGGCCCTGGTGGTCCCCAAGCACCAAGAGCAGGAACAGCCCGGCAGCTTCGGCCTGCCAGAGCATGTCTGGGTGTGGCCCCTGCCCCCTGAGCACCGCTGAAGAGGCTCCTCCCCGCCCCCCCCAAAGAAATCTTCATCCCCCATTTCAGACACACACTGAGGTTCAGGTGTGAACAGCCGGGCGCCACTGAGTCACAGTGAGTCAGCAACAGAGGCCACGTCCCACCAGGATCGGTGCACTGCCCCCCAACTTCCACCTGGCCACTGGTGCAGGCAGGCGTGGACTGGCTGGGGGCTCGGCTGGGCATCAGAATCTAACAGGCGGGCGGGTCGGTCCCTCAGCACCCCACACCTGCCCCGCCGTGTCCTCTCCGGGCCACATACCTGTCCGGGTGAACCCGGGACCCCCACCTGCGTAGCCTGGAGCCAGGCGCGCCCTGTGTCCTCTCCCCCGTCCGTCTCTGCTCTGCTCTTTCTTCTCCTCCCAGCAGCTGCTACCCCACCCCGCCACGCCCTACCAGCTGCGGCGTGGCCCCGAGGGAGCCCCCTCTCCCCTCCTCCCCCACCCCCACCCCCACCACCAGGCAGGAAAAGAAGACACGGGGCCTGCAGAAGCAACTGGCCTCATTGCAGGAGCGGGCAGGAAGGAGAGGGGTCAGCTAGGGGGTCACAGAGCCCCTGAGGGTCGCTGCGGGGGCAGAAAGGGAAGCTGGGAGGGGGTCGCGCTGGGGTCCGGTCCCTCGCGGGGGAAAGGGGCGCCTGAGCGCCACCTGCTGGCCTCCACGCGTATAGCCCCAGGCAGATATCGGGACCAGGACTTGAGTCTGGGCGCTGGAACAGGATGGGGGAGGCTGCGGGGGGGGGGGGGGGGGTCGTTAGGGTGGGCAGAGGGCGCGGGTGGCGGGAGCACCGCGAGTGTTGTGGTTTTGAGCGTGCGGTCTTCTGGGTCTGGTGAAGCTGGTTCTTGGCTGCTCAAAGCTGGGAAGAGTCCTTTCAGGAGCCAGACGACGACGACGAGGGAGAATTGGGCTGGGAGGGGAGGAACTGTGTGTGGGGGGTGGGGGTGGGGGTTGGGAGCACCCGGGTTGATCTTCAGTGCAGGCTGCCGGGACTGCTGCTTTTGTGCGTCACTTGCATGCTGTCCTCGCTTAGTGCGGGGCCAAGAGCAGTGGCATGCAGCTTTGTTGCGTCATCTCCCAACATACGTTAATTGAGCACCCAGGCAGTGCTAGGCTTTGAACGCCACTTTAGGAATGCAGCTGGCAGACAAGAAGGAGCGGGCAGAGGGTTGAGGGCTGGACCCCTTCCTCCCTGCTGCTTTTTTTTTCTCTTTGGAAGACTCCACTAGTGTCTCAGGGTGCTGGCTGGCCACTTCCACACTGGCACCTAGTGGGTCATGAGCATCTGGGTCTTCCTGAGTGTCCAGGGCTGACCAGGGCCCCCGCACCTAACTCAGGCTGTAAGCACACAAGCCAGAGTCCTGATAACTACTCCCCCCCCACACACACACACACGCTGAGTGCTAGGGACTGTAGCTCACGTCTCACACATGAAAGACCCATGTGCTACCTCCAAGCTGCGGGCAAGCATTTAGAGTGAGGACGGTCCTCTTCACAGTCAGACATGATCATAGTCCTAGCCATAGGCCATGTAGTGACACACAGATCACAGGAAGAATCAGGAGAAGGGTAGGAGATCTCTATGGAGATAAAATAATCAAGCACCTACCAATAATTGGTGGGGTGTGGGGTGGGGAGGGTGTGGACCACTGCTGTGCTCAGGGGTTACTCCTGGCTCTGCACTCAGGAATCACTCCTAGTGTGCCCAGGGGACTATATGGGACACCAGGGATTGAACCCAGGTCAGTTACATGCAAGGTGAGTGCCCTGCCTGCTGTTTTATCACTCTGGCTCCAGAACTGACTCTTGTCCATGTTATGTTATTTTGAGTCTTAGACTGACAAATGGCTGCTTTTTTTTTCTGGTGCCAGGGATCAAGCCCAGGTTCTGACACATGTGAGGGGCTACACATGGGCTTCCCCAGTGTACCACATCCCAACCAGTAAATTGACGTATCAGTAAATTCTATTATTCCAAATGAGAAGGTTGGGATGTGCAGAGGTCTGGTGACTTACTCTGGGTCACACAGCTGGAGATCCTGGGTTCATGTTCAGGGCCTAATATAGACCTCCTGCACCCTGCTTTAACCTCCAGAGACTGCACCACAGGATAAGAATCCAGAGCTCTGCGCTAGGTGGAGGACCCAAGTCTCCCTTCCTGCGGGGTCAGAGAGGCTTTCAGGTTGAATGGCAATTGACCAAGCCCAGAACCAAGCTGATCCAGAAGGGATGACCTATTCAACATCATCTATGTGTTCACAAATCACATACATGCACGAAATGTCTTGAATCTTCATGATCCTGAGACATTAAGTTGGTCGTACCCATTTTACAGATAAGGAAATTGACGTTAAACCAGAGAAAGTGGGCTGGAGAGATAGTAGAGCAGGTAAGGGGTAAGGTACTTGCCTTGCATATGGCCAACCTGGGTTTGATCCCCAGCACCACAGATGCCCCTCTGACCACCACCAGGAGTGATTCTCGAGCACAAGTCAGGAGTAATCCCTGAGCACTGCCAGGTGTGACCCCAAAACCTAAAAACAGTGAAAGAGGGAGAGAGGGGGAGAGAGAGAGACAGAGACAGAAACAGAGACAGAGACAGAGAGTTACTTGCATGGAAGAAATGGAAGAAAGTGACAGATGGAAGTCTGAGTTGTCTGTTCCCCCATCCTCCATCACGGACATGATGAGGCCAGCCCAGCTTGATGTTCCCTGAAACCCTGGACCAGATGAGCTTGAGCTAGGTTTGGGTGCTGAGACCAGGTGACCAAGTCGCTGTGACCTGGTCCCAGGACAGGGCGATGACTCAAACCTGGAGCGCTTGCTTAGCATGCAGGAGCCCAGGTTCGAGGCCGGCCCCACCTGGTCTTGGAGTCCCTCCAGGAGTGCCCCACTCTCTTACAGAATGGCTGAATGTAGATTGGCCTCAGTCCTTGAGGATCTCCAGTGGTAGAGCGGGAGAGAGAATCCAGAGCTAGGATTCCCTAACCACGCAGAGAGAGAACTCCCTCTGCCCGGGAGGGATGAGGAGCAACAGTGGCCAAGAGAGGGGCCACAGCAAAGGCACAGCGGGTGAGACACTTTGACCCGGGCTGACCCAGGTTCAATCCCCAGCATGCCATACAGTCCCCACACTCACCAGGAATAATCCCTGAATGCAGAGCCAGGAGTAAATCCTGAGGGCCCCCAACATCCCTCCCCAGAAAACAAAATAAAACAGCAGCTAGGAGAGAGTATTAACTTGGAAGGAAAGCCAGGAGGGCTTCTGAGAGGAGGTGAAACCTATATTAAGGTGGGAATTAGTCAAAAATGGGATAAGGAGCAGAAGAGAACAGGACCTTTGGCCCAAGAGAACACTGTGAACGGGGAAGAAAAAGATGGGATGGCAGAGGAGGGTGGCAGGAAGGGTTGCAAGTTGCTCTGTGATCCTACAGTTCAGGAAAAGAGAACTGGATTTTATTTGGGAGGGGAGTGGATTGGGCCACACCCACCAGTGCTCAGGAGCTTCTCCTTGATCAGGGGTTGCTCCTGGAGGTATTCAGGGGACCATATCTGGATCCAAGGATCGAACCAGGGTTGGCCACGTGCAAGGCAAGTGTCCCTGTACTGTCTCTCCGGCCCTAGGATTGGATTTGAAGACTCTTCCATGCTTGTCGGAGACATCCAAGCAGGGAAGGGCAATGTTTATTTGACACAATCTTTCTGAGCCCACCAGTGCCAGGAGCTATGGTGAGTTCCAGAGACACTGCTTTAAACAAGGTGGCAATGTCCTTGGCCCCAGGAAGCTCAGTTGTACCAGCAATACCCAAGTAATAAGTCTGTGAAAGACTAACCAAAATCTCTTCAGAGTCACAAAGAAAAATTGGAGTAAAGTTGTAAGGATGGTCAACCAACTAATACTGGGTCATAGAGTCCAAGGGACTGACATTTAAACTGAGAGCCAAAAAGAGAAAGGAGGCAGGCATAACACAGCTCACACACTTCAAAGAAGAGTGCCATGGGCACGGAATCAGCAGGTGCAAAGGTCCTGGGGCAGGAGTAAACTGGGTCGGTCTGTTTAGGAAAGTTAAAAAACCTAGTGTTCAAGCATCATCAGGGCTTACTCTGGTGGTTTGCCACCTGGTCCAATAACTCCTGGGAGTGGCCTTGAGCCCCCAAGCACCACTGGGAGCACTCCCCTGCCCCACTCTGCAAAAAAAAAAAAAAAGGTGGTTGATTAGGGTTTGTGAGTCAAAAAGAACAAAGAGTGGGGAGAATGTGATAACAGTACGTGGGGAAGGTGGCACACACAGGCCAGAGAAGAATTGGTTAAGTGATTCCACTTGAGTGGGAACTCCAGAGAGGTGCTAGTGCTCTGCTCTGGGAGGGGCCTCCCTTCCCCTGCCCCCCTCCGCAGGCTCGGGACTCTTCCACCTCCAGTTCTTTCCCCGCAGAAGCAAGATCATGGTCTGTGTGCAGCTGGACACACGGCTGCAATCTCCTAGCCAGAAGGGATGGTTCTTGGGCCGGAAGGGACAGTTCTCATCCCAGGCCAGGACAAGGGACAGGAGGAAAGTGGATGGAGGGTTGGGATACACTTTGTCTGGGTCTGATGGTTGTCATATGGTGAGTGTGGAGAGACCAGAGGGAAAGGGGCTGGGATTGGCCCTCCAGAGGCGGGTTTCTGAGCCAGACCCCCTGGCTGAGAGACCTGGGCCCATTACTCCACCTCTCTGAGCCTTCTCTTGAACTGGAAAAGGATAATAAAATCCACACAAAAGAGTGGTGGAAGGGATGGTGGTGGGTGAAAGGGAAGGAAGGGAGAGAGGAAGGGAGGAACGGAGGAAGCAAGGATGCATAAAGGCCTCCTCTTAACCATTTTTTGGGGGGTAGCCACATCAAGCAGTGCTCAGGACTTGCTCCTGGCCCTGTGCTCAGGATCGCTGGCAGGACTGTGTGAGAGGTCAGGGATTGAACTGTGGCCGGCCACAAGGAAGGCACAAGCTGCAGCCCCCTGAGCTATCTCTCTGGTCTTCTCTTTGGGTGAAGAAAATCTCAAGTCTCCCTCTGTTTAGAGACTCAAATGACTGAGCTCCTCTCTGACAGAACAGAGAGGTCTGGGATCTTGCCTGACATCACACAGCCAGTTAGTGGCAACACCCTGCCCTTGTCTGCTCCAAGCCCTGGGCCCAGCTTTCACTTTAGAGTTTCTCAGTGTCAGACCACAGATGCTCTGAGGCCAGAGGGAACCATCTTGCCTTCCACGCTGCCAAGCCAGGTTTGATCCCTGGCATTGTACATGGCCCCCTGAGCCTGCCAGGAGTGATTT